GTTCCCTGGTACCAGGACACGGAAGCATTTCCGATCAGAGGACAGGCCTGATTTATGTGAAAGATACGTGCCTACAGCATCAAGCCCGGTCTTAAAGACATATGAGCACTACGGGTTCCCCAGGAAAACTGATTTGATTTCATGCCCCCAGTTTTGGCCGTACACATGGGCCCTTTAGGCGTCAGTGTTGATTGGAAAACAATCGAAGAGGTTTTTCCATATGGGCAGTTTCTGCCAGATAACCCAGAGAAAGATCATAAAACTGGGAAAATACATACACACCTCTGTCTTCCCTGTGAGCATCCATATGGCCCAATATCGATATTTTCCATGGATCTATTTGATCTTCACAACAGCTCACAAAGTAGGCAAGGCACGTTGACTCCCAGATGAAAGAAACTGGGTCAGAGGCTTCCCAGGCCGGCCAGGGTCCCGCAGCTCTCCCCCCCTCAATGGGGCTAGGTGGGGGAAGAGGGTGTCTGTGCTCTCAGAGAACTCCTCATTCTGATTGGAACTGTTTCATCCTCTTTGCTGCACCAAAACAAGAGTGTTGGGGGGCAAACCCGCATTGGGCCTGCCCACGGGTAGGGGCTGAGTCGTACTCAGAGAGAATGAGTAAGTGCTTTCTGAGGCTTGGGCCTGGGCTTTCCCACTCCAAGTTCCAAGCTAGCCTGCCGCAGACACGTCTGTGCACTTATGCATGCTGAGCCTTCCCCCTACAATGCCTTTCTCAGCTTGCCGGCCTTCCAAACTCCTATTCATCTCTCAAAACCCAGCTCAGATAGCCCTCTGCCATGATTCTTCCCAGACTCGGTCACAAGCACAATTAAATTCTTTAGGTCTTCACACTTGGACAGACCCCTGACTCTTCACTGCCACTCTGCATTCCACAGCGTATAGTCACCATATGTCTTTGTCCTCAGATGGGCCCAGAGCCTCATGAGGGGACGGGAAATGGGCTTTGTTCATCTCTATCTTCCCAGCACCCACAAGGGACCCAGTACCCTCAAGGGCTTCAGGACTATGTGTTGACATAGAGACAAACTATTGATATTTTGATATATAAATAAATAGGGTTATGAATTCATTCAGCAAATATTTGTTGAGCATGTGAACTCTGTGGTAGGAGTTGGGAATAAGACTATTATCAAAAGAGATAAACTCCTTGCCTGGGGGAGCTCGTGCTCTCCTGGGAGAGACAGGAAGTAAAAACTAAACCATCTATCCAGGTGATGATATCGGTTATGACCAATGATGAGGCTGGGCAAGGGGAGGAGAGGCTATTTCAGGGAATGGCCAGTGCAAAGGTCCTGAGGTGGGAGAGGATGTAGCATGTTCAAAACAGAGCAAGGAGGCCAGGAGAGCCAATGGATGAGCAGGTGGGGACCATAAAGACACTCAGAAGGCAGCAGAGTGTGTCACAGTCAAGTCAGTGTTCTCCTGCGGCTGAGACAGGGGCAGTGGAGGGTTTCCAGCAGAGACACGACATGGTCAGACTTAGGCTCTAGAACACAGAGGAAGGTGACTGAGCATCCCTGGTCACAGGTCCTTTCCAAGTGGTACCCCTGGAGAGGCTTCCAGAACGCCAGTGTGCAGCAGCTGTGTTAGCTCACGGGATTCTCCTGACTCCCCTCCAAGGAGGTCTGCTGAGAGCCCCTGTCCAGGTGAGACAGCAAGGCAAACACGGAGACAGAGATATGAGAGAGCACGAGTGGAGAGAGGAGGGAGGAGCAGGCTCCCCACTCAGCAGCAAACCCAACTTGGGGCTCGACCCCAGGGCTCTGGGATCATGACCTGAACCAAAGGCAGAAGCTCAACTGTCTGAGCCACCCAGGTGCCCCGAGCCTTTCACTTTTAAACGGCCAGCAGTTCAGGCCAGGGCAGTGCGTATAGCTGCCTGAATGTCCGGGACACACTCAAGCCGGCAATTGTCACCTTGTCCGTGTCCAGGTGTTTGCAATTTGTTAAATCTACAAAGTTTAGGATTTGGTTTTTACCCCCACCCCCTTCCATCTTGACACCTTACTCTGGCCTCATCTGTTCCCGCCCACCTCGTGCAGCACGCTGGGTGCTCTTGCACAGTGGCATTTGCACACCTGGCTGCAAACGCTGGCTTGATCGCCTGCTGGGTCCACCAGGACATGAGCAGTCCCAGGGGGACACCGAGACTTCCTCTCTCTGCCCGCTGGCACCCAGCACTCACCCAGCACCATGCAGGGGCTCTGCTCATATTCGCAGGATAGGACGATGAGCACTCAGGCCTGCGCTCACACAGGCGCAAAGGGTCACAACGGGCCTTGAAGGATGGAGGGGCATTAAGCAGAAAGGGAGGGGAGGGGAGGCTGTTTCCAGCAAATGCTCACAGGAAGACAAGTCCAGGTGCATTAGGAGCCGGAGAGTCACCCCTCAGCCGGAACAGAAGACCCAGGATGGTGGGTGGACCGTGGAGGCGCTGGGTGTTGTCCTGTGAAATGGCAAAACCCGGCGCTCTGGAATATTAATCTAGCACAAGCATAGGCGGAAGGACAAGAACCAGAAAGCAAGGAGGTTTGTGACGAGTTCTTTGTCATAGACGTGTCTGCTGCACGAGTGCCTGGCAGCTACGACAGGAAGGGAGGCCTGGGCAGAGCGGTGGGTGCGCTAGCTGGGCCCTCAGTTCGGGCCACAGGGCGCCCAGCCTGTTTCTTTCCTGTGTCTACGAGCAAAATTAATAGTAGGGACAGTGCATGTAATTGTGGGGCCTGAGCAAGAGCCCCGAAGGTACTCGGAGTCCAGACGTTGCCTGTACAGAACCTGCTGGACGTGACTAGGAGAGGACACAGGGTGGCTACGGGGTTTAGTGACTGCAGAACTGTGTACGTCACGGTGGGGACTGTGGCCCGCGTGTCCCCAACCCCTCAGACTCCAGCCCACCTTCCCTGAATGGCATGAGCAGAGCCAGAGCCCACCCACAGCTCAGAGACCCAGCTGCCCAGAGGTCCCGGCATTAGTCTCGGGGACAACCCCACGGAAGGCTGACCTGTTCCACTGGGCTGACAGGCTGTCCTCTGTTTGTAGATGCCAGTCCTGGGGTCACTGCCAGCTGCCTTTCATGCCTCTTTGCTGCCCTGTTCTCCCTACACACGCCCCCCACATGCCCGGGGACCCAGAGGACCCTCATTCCACTCCCAGTCTCCCCCCAGATGTGGGGTTCCATCATCCTGCCCTCAGCCCCCAAAATTCAGGCCCCCTCCCCCCACAGACTTGGGATTCCCTCATCCTGTCCTCAATGCCCCCCCCCCCCCGCAGAATTCAGGCCTCGTCTCCCCACAGCCCTAGAAGCAGAAAGAGACTCCCTCCTCCCTGGAACCAAGGCCTGCTTCCCATTTCCCACCCCAAGTGAGCAACAGTGGGAACATTCATTTTCTTCAAAGAACTTTCCATCTCACCCACGGGTGGGGCCCCACGGCTTTGGCAAGGCTGCCATGGGGTCATCTCCCATGCAACCCAGGTCCCTCGGCCAGCCCATGGCAAGCGGGCCGTCCGCCACCCCCTGTGAGCTGGGCCAGGATCAGACCCGCAGACCCCACCTCCCCCAGCATCCCCCCAGAACTGGTCTCAGGGCCTGGGCAGGAAGGGATCCCATAAGAACAGATACTCGTGAGAAGCAGTCCAAGTCTAAACTCACATGGAAGGGAGAAAAGCTGCTTTCTGGAAACGGTTTCCTCTGGCGAGACCCCAGGCTTCATTACTAATTAGGAAGGACTGAGACTTGGAGCCTCTCTCTGATGAACAACTACCCCAGGGGCGCCTGGGTGGCTCAGCGGTTGAGCGTCTGCCTTCAACTCAGGGAGAGATCCCAGGGTCCTGGGATCGAGTCCCGTATTGGGCTCCCCGCAGGGGGCCTGCTTCTCCCTCTGCCTGTGTCTCTGCCTCTCTCTGTGTCTCTCATGATTAAATAAATAAAATCGTAAAAAAAAAAATCTACCTCAAACCATGCCTGACACCTAACATCTGTGTTTACTAAAAATTTCTCAGCTCTCCCCTGATGGGAAAGGAACCTTCCCAAAGACAAATTCTAGTTCCTCTCCTTAAAACACTCACGAGCTACTGAGTCTTGGAGTCTTCTTTTCTGCTCCCATAGTTTTAATATGTCTAGCGACAGGAGAAAATTGCTAGAAAATTCTAAAGTGCAGGTTGTCCATACAAAGAGAGGAAATAGAGAAGACCAGATTCTGAAGCCAAAGGGGACATTGTCTGATCCAGACATGTTGGGTTCAAGGTGACGTCCAGAGGGGACATGGAGCATCCAAGGGGCAGACGAAGGTGTGGGGAGGGCTGGGGCCTTGAGATTTGGGGATCACCTTTCCAGAAACCAGAACTCAAGCCCTGGCCTGGATGCGTTCTCCTGCATCTAGGGAGGGAGTTTGAAACCCTTAACTTTCTAAGAGGGAGGATAAGGAGCGTTTCAGGTAAAGGACCCTGAGGCTTGACTCTCAGAGCAAGCTAGAAATTTCTATCTGAACACAAGGTCTTGAGTAGTTCAACTTGATATTTGCAGATGAACATTGAATAATGGGCTTTGGCACTTCCAGGGAAGATTAGGAAAAGTGCATCTAATCTTACTCAACTCTGGACATTGCATGAGTCAAATTTTTCCTAGCTCACTGTTTATTTAGTCGGGGTCCATGCTGAAGGATTGTTGGCCATGGACCCTTCAGTGCCAAGACGCTAAGGGAGGCATTTCAGCCAGCTCCCATGAAAGCTACTGCAAAATCTTAGGCATGGGATTTGCGTAGCAAATGGGGCTGTCATCATTCAATGTCCTCCGAGGCTCCTGGGGCCTCAGAAGGAAGTGGAATGCATTTTAAGCACATGTTGGCCAACATCTGGTTCTTGGGCAGAGTCGCGGGCCTCTGGAGATGTCACCAAAGTAAGGAGGGGGTTGGGAGGTGAATAATCTCTCGCCAGCCCCAAAATGCAGAGCATCTTAAGCCCCATCTTGCTTCTTCCATCGGAAGACTCACTTTTTCGGCAATCCCCCCAGTGACCTCATCGGAGAGGCGGTTGTGTAATCCAGGGCCACAGCATTTGCACGGCGCTGCCCAGCGCAGAACACACCTCCGAAGGCCGCTCTCGCCATCCGAAAACCCTCTGAGGTTGTGAGCTCTTTACCGTCCCAAGTAAGTATACGATCATCCTTTTTTTTTTCCCCTCTTGTGAGAGTGAGATATGAGATTCACGTCTCTTAGAAAAAACAAACAAAGCTCCCTTTTACAGCTAACTATTGGCAGACTTTTCAGTTTTCTTTAAGTGCATGTTTTTTCAGAAACAGAATTCTCAATCAGTTTAAGAGACTATATTCCGTGCCTGCTTTGGGGTTTACTTGTTTTTCCAGAAGAAAAGGAGGAAAGTGTCTAGACTAGCCTGTGAAGTTTCCAGAAGCTCTCTCTTTATATCAAGGCTGTAAGAGACATGTAGAGGCTGATACTGCCTCTCATGGGCTCCATGTGGACTCTAACCAGTTTCCATCTACAAATTCTGATTCTGATTTTAAAAAAACCAGACTGGGGCACCCAGGTGGCTCAGGTCATGATCCTGGGGTCCTGGGATCGAGTCCCACACTGGGCTCCCCACATGGAGCCTGCTTCTCCCTCTGCTTATGTCTCTGCCTCTCTGGGTCTCTCATAAATAAATGAATAAAATCTTATATATAACAGACTGATCTCCCCAAGATGCCTTACAAGGTTTCAGAAGGCCAATAACCAGTTGGGGTTATTTGTGGCTTGACAACAGCTTCTTATGATTGGACTGAGTTGAGATTCTTTTGTCTCTGTGTCTGTATTTCAAATGCTTTTATCATCACCTCACTGTCGGAATTGGAATGAATTCGAAGGAGCCCTTCTTGTTGAAGGAAGTTTTAGCATAGCAATGCCAATGGTAAAACGCGCAGAACTCAGAAAATACCACATGGAAATTACAGACTCACCTTCTCTAGTAGACCTGCCCGCTGTCGCCTCTGAGTTTTTAATAAATGAGATCGAGTATTACTAAAAATTTCAATAGTGCTATTTATTGAGCACCTGCTATGTACGGGGCACGTATCAGAGCTAAAACAAAGAACTGGTGAAGGAAGGCTTCTCCTTTCTGTTCAATTTTATATAAACACAGGCAGTGGCTGGTAAAGGCAACCCCTTTAAAAATAAGCCCAGCTTGGGGCGAGCCTGGGTGGTGCAGTTGGTTTAGCCTCTGACTCCTGGCTGAGGTTGTGGTCGTGATCTCAGGGTCGTGAGATTGAGCCCTGCCTGTGAGATTCTCTCTCTCCTTCTGCCCTCTGCCCCTCCCGCTTGTGCTCTCAAATAAATAAGTAAATCTTTTTAAAAAAATAAACAAATAAGCCCAGCTTGAGCAGACCCACGCTGTGGGATGGAGGCCCATGTGTGCTGAACCAATCAGATTGGAGCTAAAGTCAGAGGTCTCTCTGGGTGGCTTGGGAAGCAGTCCCCGATTTTCTGGGTAGGGTGAAGCCTGGCCCCCTGGATGAGGTTCCTATGACCGCTTAATAAATAAGCACAAATCTACCAACACAATTTTATTGTCGTACAGTTGTATGAGAGAAGTCAGATGTTCAAAATCAATCCCACCAGGCTAAAATCAGGGTGTCCGCAGGGCTGTGTTCCTTCTGGGGGCTCCAGAGGAGAATCCATTCCTTGCTTTCTACCCCCGTCTGGAGGCTGCTGTGCCTCTTGGCTCACGGCCCCTTCCTCTGTCTTCAAAGGGCCCAGTGTCGAATCTTTGCCTCAGTTTGTTCATTTGTACCACGGGCACGGCTCCATGACTGCTCCTGCAGCCGGTTGTCAGGATCAAATGTCCGGGAGCCCAGTGGAGTCTCGGACCCTCTGCAGATGACAGGTGTGGCTGATGCTGAAAGCTCGGACCTGGGCATCCAGGTGTCCCTCCACCCCCGGCATCGGCAAGGACAGGGACCAAGACAAAGCTAACGTGCGGCTTTTCCTTGGTGGCTAGAACTTGGTCAGCACGTGCAGAGAAGGGCACAGGAAGGCCTGGCATGAGGCCCCCTTGGTCTCAGGACGCAGCTCTGCAGACAGGTATGCAGTACAGCAGGGTGCTGCCCCCTCCCCCCACCATGCATCCGAGATCAGGTTTACTGGGTGCACCTGCTACCTGCGGCTGCTGAAACGAATGCCCACAAACCAGGTAGCTTTAAACCAACTGACCATATTTTAGCGGTGGAGAGATAAAGCGGTTCTCGTCCAAAGCTGTTTTCCAAAAAAATGATGTATTTAACTCTATGTACACACACCAACAGAGTGGCCATAGTATAGTGATGGAGTCATAGTGAAGTAGCTCTAGTTAAAAAACTGTTTCCAGGGAGGCCAGGGGGGCTCAGTGGTAGAGCATCTGCCTTTGGCTCACGGTGTGATCCCGGGGTCCTGGGATCGAGTCCCCCATCGGGCTCCTGCATGGAGCCTGCTTCTCCCTCTGCCTGTGTCTCTGCCTCTCTCTGTGTGTCTCTCATGAATAAATAAATAAAATCTTTTTTAAAAGTTGTTTTCAAAAAGCTACGACTTTAAGTACACATATACACTTACATACATTAAGGCAAAATAATACAGTTTTTGTGTTACCGAGCTGAACATTGAAAAAAGAACATAAGTGTAATAAACTGGTTTGGGTACATATCCACGTGCTATGTAATCTGTGCCTGACTCAGTTATGTCCTTGGCATTTTCTTGGAGAAAGAATTTTTCTTTCCGCGGGGTCTATTTTTAATTGTCCCGTGTAACTGCTGAATTCTTTCCCTTTCAATTTTACAGTTGATAAATTGAAATTAGCACCTTCATTTGACCCTTCTCTTAGACTAGAATGTATTTAATTAAGAAAATGTGTCTGGGACAGGTGCTCAGGTGCCTAATACACTCCGAGCAAAAAAAGTGGGGGACTATTCTCAAGTCCAAGTCCAAGTCTTTGCGTATAAAATGATGTAAACATTTTAGCCCAGATATTTTCAAAGGTGGTGCTTTCATGCCTTCGAAAGTTCAGAGTGGCTTTTTTTCAACAAATATTTTTACGAGATTCAACTCTACAAATAAGTCGTGGTTACTTAAAATTTGTTAACACCGTGTCAAACTTAGATGCTGTGAATCATAGATTTTTCTCAATTTCATCGCATTTCTGTGCAGAATATGAATTTATCCCATTGAAAAGATTCTTCCCATAAACTGAGGTATTCTAAAGCTCACTTCAGAATTTCAAAATTAGGTCTTGTGAGCCACGGAGCTCTTCTTCTTTGATTTAATCATTTCTTCCTTTTTCCCAACAGATTTCTTTATTTTCTGCATAATAGCTTCGTTCTCTAGAATCACAATCTGCTAGACATGCAAAAGCAGATGTTTTGGCGCTCTGTTCTTTGAATATCTTGATTAAAGATTCCCAATTGCTTTGGAACAAAATTCAAAAACAGAGCTCTGCTTCAACAAACAGCTTAGTGATATTTTTGGGCATTTAGGATTAGTTGTAAAACTGACTGGCGACAGGCAGCAAAGAAAAGAAATACGTGCTGAAGGTTTTTTTTGTTTGTTTTTTTAAAAAATTTGTTTATTTATTTGACAGAGAGAGAGAAAGCACAAGCAGGGGGAATAGCAGGCAGAGGAGAGGGAGAAGCAGGCTCCCCGTTGCGCAGGGAACCCCCATAGAGGACGTGATCCCAAGACCCCAAGATCATGACCCGAGCTGAAGGCAGGCGCTTAACCAACTGAGCCACCCAGGCACCCAGGAGGTTTTTTTTAAAATTCACTGTTAACCTCAATATAAAAAGCTTGTGGCTTGGTAACTCTGTGTCTGTGTGTGTCTTTAGATATTCTAAATTTTGTCAGCTATAATCTCCCTTTCAACTGGTATAATGTTGAAACTTATTTGTGTGGCATTATGAACTGTGCGCGCACCATGGCCTGTTCTAAGTACATTTCTGCTTCATTGGTCTTTTATTTAGTAAGATCCTAGCTGTTCCCATGACGCTGTGCCCCAGTAAAATCTGTATCTGCATTACCATCACAAAAATATAACGCCATTTCCAATGGAAACAATTTAAACCGAATTTAAAATAGCACTCCCCAGAAATCTGTTGTTCCGTTCAGCCGGACTGAACTTCCAGAAGCTTCGCTGTGAGTCCATGCGTTGGATGATGATTGGAACGGACTGATTTTTCTAGTGGAAGGATTGCAGATTTGATAGCAAACCGGCACCCAGAACTCCCTGTCTGTGGAGTTCTTAGAAGCTGACCCGGAATCAGCCACCGCTTCCCCTGGTGTATGTGCAGGAGAAAGACCAGCACCCAAAATGAGCTGGATTCATTTGCAGAGCAGTTGCTTGGTGGGAGCTGAAAAGCCGGGCTTCCAGAACAACCTACAGCAGCATCTTTCTGCCGCCTTATGGGTGAGATCAGTGTCTCGGGGCAGATCTCTTAAAAGTACTAACTGCTGAAGTGGCTTTTGTGTCTTAGGTATTCCTGCGGTCAGTGAAATCGCTACGGCCCCCACAGCGATGTAAACATCACTGCGCAACTTGCACATCCGTCATCAACTTCCTTGAGAAACAGAAGCTCGCTACTTACATTTTCATTAAGCTTTCAATTTTTATTTTAGCCCATCACTGCCAGAAGGGCATATTGCAGAATTTAAAAGTATTTGCGGGGAATGGGGCACCTGGCTGGCTCAGTCGGTAGAGTGTGCAACTCTTGATCTCGGGGTCGTGAGTTCCAGCCCCATGTGTTGGGTGTGGAGCCTACTTAACAAAGAATTTTTGAGAAAAAAAAGTATTTCCAAATAACCCAATAAATATTTACTTGTGGATTTATGCCCTGCAAGAATTGACAATGCAAGAATTTCCGGACTCTTCCACACGCTCCGGGTCAGAGCTCTACATGCCACAGATACTCCACGGCCACCCAACCCATAATTCCCCGTGTTCCCAAGTGGCCTGCCCGCTGTCTACACTCTACCTGAGTGATTTCATCCAGTCTCGCGGCTTTAAACACCATCTAGGTAATCATAATTCCCATTTACGTATCACTGTGTCAGACCTCGCCACTGAATACCAAACTTGAATATCTAGGTGCCCCTTGGAAATCCCCACTTGACGTTCAACAGACATCTCAACCTTGGCATGTCCAAGAGTGAACTCCTGATCCCCCCCATTCAAAAAAACCCTTCCCCATCTTCACTCTGTGACGTCTGTGTCTCAGTTGATGGCAACTTCCTGTCTCCAGGTGCTCAGGCCAAAAATCTTGGCAACATCCAATCCTTCCTTTCTCACAACCTGTATCCGATTGAAAATCATGGCAGTACTACTTTCAGCATAAATCTAGAAACTGATCCCATCTTACCATCCCCACTGCCACCACTCCTCAGCTAACACAGTTATTCAGTATGTCCATTGTTGTGGGCTCTCTCCTCCCACTAGGCTATGGGGTTTTCACCAGTTTGATTCATGGCTCTGTCCCAAATACCTAGAACAGCACCAGGTACACAGTGGGTGCTCAATAAATACTAGCTCCGAAGATAAATGCATGGAGGAACTGTTGAATTATACCTCGGTGTGAATGGTGCAGTGTGTGAGCTACCAACAGTGTCAAAACCTGAAGGTCATTGTGTCCTCAGATATGGAATGTCAGGCTCAGAGACACCAAGTGATCACCCCCCAGGTCACGCAGCCAAATAGGCTCTTCCGAGATTGGTTCTCTCGTACACGGTATCTTCTGTTAGATACCGTGCGGCCGTGCCCCGTTGAAGGAATCTCAAGCATCACTAAGTAATAACAATAATGGTAACAAGAGTTAACATTTATCGAGCGCTTATGAGAAGCCAGGAACCATGTTAAGCACTCTGCATTTATTAAGTCATCCAGGTGGGGGTAAGACTTTTAGGTGGGAAGCTCCAGAAATCCCAGTGCCGACAGCTGCTCACTGAGTGAATGGAACCACGTGGGTCCCCTGAGCCGGCTGTGGCCCACTCTGCTGGCGGGTGCCCACAAACCCCAACTCCAGGATGTGGTCCCTTCTTTCCATGGGGCTCCAGAGGGCTGGGAGGCACGATCCGCTCCCTTCCCACCACATCCCCCTCCCCTAGAAACTCCGAGTGGGCTCGTGGGAAGCAGGCCAGCTGTGTGGCTGGGAGTGTGGCCTTCAGGGTCAGCACGGACCGAGGTCTCCCAGGACAGGTCATTAACTTCCGAACCTGGCTTCCCTGTCTACCAAGTGGGGACAAAATGCGCAGCAGAATCAAGTACACGGAGACCCGGGCCCTGGTATCAGGCCGTCTGAGTCTGTGTGACTGCAGAGGAGTGGTCGGGGCGTCGCAAAGTTTTCTGAGCAGTCCAGTGGAGATGACAATGCCCCTCCCCGCACAGAGCTGTTGAGAAAATTACATGAAAAAATATTTCAATGTGAAAGTCTTAGGTGGTAAAAAAAAGAAAAAAAAAAGAAAGAAAGTCTTAGATGGTGCCTGGAGACCATGATGATCTCATCAGCATGAGCTGCTTATTCTTTTACTACTTGTGTTTTTCTTTTTTTTTTTTTTAAAGATTTTATTTATTTATTCATCAGAGAGAGAGAGGGAGGCAGAGACATAGGCAGAGGGAGAAGCAGGCTCCATGAAGGGAGCCCGACGTGGGACTCGATCCTGGGTCTCCAGGATCACGCCCTGGGCCAAAGTCGGCGCCAAGCCGCCGAGCCACCCAGGGATACCCACTACTTGTGTTTTTCAAGCCCAGCTTGTGAACCCTCTTGTTCTGGAAACCTCTCACTAGTGCCCCCACTCCGTCCCCCCCTTCTGGTCTCGGGCCCCAAGGGACAGGCATCCCCGCTGGCTGTACCACTTCCTAGCTCTCCTGGACTCTTTCTTAGGTCATCGGCCGCTGTCTCCGTGTCTGCATCCCCTCTAGGCAGGCGGTGAGCACCTGCGGGGTGGGGGCAGAGTCCTGGTGTCTCTCTAGCACCTGGCAAAGTGCCGGCACAGAGTGGGTGCTCGTGACATGTTTGCCAGGACTGATAACAATAATAGTGTGGTTGTTAATAAGACTAATCAGCACCTTCCACTGAGCGCTTCCTCCACACCAGGCAACCACAGCATGCAAGCCATGGATCCCAGCCCCAGTCCTCACCACAAACCCACAAGGAATAGGATTAGCTCCCACTTCCTTTTTTCTTTTCTTTTTTTTTTTAAGATCTTATTTATTCATGAGAGACACACACAGAGAGGGAGAGAGAGAGAGAGAGAGAGAGAGAGAGAGAGAGAGAGGCAGAGACACAGGCAGAGGGAGAAGCAGGCTCCCTGCAGGGAGCCCGACGGGGACTCGATCCCGGGTCTCCAGGATCGCACCCCAGGCTGAAGGTGGCGCAACCTCCCACTTTCAAAAAGGAAAATGAGTTAGTGGGTCTAAGTGGCCCACACTCAAAGTGGTTGCCCCAGGATTTGGACTCGGCTTTCAGAGCCCCCGACTCGTCCTTTATGCCAGGGGTCGGCAAACGTATCCTCAAAGGGAACGGATGGCAAATCTTTTCACCTCCACAAGCCACACAGTGTTTGTCACTGCCCCTCCACTCCCACCCTCTGTGACACAAAAGCAGCCTTGGACAAGATGTAAATGAATAGGTGTGGCCGTGTGCCCATAAAACCTTATTTTCCTGAACTGGGAGCGGGCTGGGGGCGGCCGGCGGGTCGTAGTTGGCTGCCTCCCGTGTCACGCTGCGTGCTGTTCGATGCAGGTCCCTGTGGATGGCATCGCGGGCCCCCCTGGAGCTCCAGCCCCTGAACCGGAGCCAGCTGTCGCCTCCAAACGCCACGACCTGTGACAATGCTCCAGAAGCCTGGGACCTGCTGCACAGAGTCTTACCATCAGTCATCATCATCATCTGTGTCTGCGGGCTGCTGGGAAACCTTCTTGTGCTGGCGGTCTTGCTCCGGCCCCGGCGGCGTCTGAACGTGGCCGAAATGTACCTGGCCAACCTGGCCGCCTCCGACCTGGTGTTTGTCCTGGGCTTGCCCTTCTGGGCGGCGAACATCTCGAACCAGTTCCGCTGGCCCTTCGGGGGCCTCCTCTGCCGCCTCGTCAACGGAGTCATCAAGGCCAATTTGTTCATCAGCATCTTCCTGGTGGTGGCCATCAGCCGGGACCGCTACCGCGCGCTGGTGCACCCCATGGCCACCCGGCGGCGGCGACAGGCCCGGGCCACCTGCATGCTCATCTGGGTGGCGGGCAGCCTCCTGAGCGTCCCCACCTTCCTGTTCCGCTCCATCGAAGCTGTGCCCGAGCTGAACAACGACAGCGCCTGCGTCCTGCTGCACCCCCCCGGGGCCTGGCACGTCGCGAGGATGGTGGAGCTGAACGTGCTGGGGTTCCTGCTGCCGCTGGCTGCCATCGTCTTCTTCAACTGCCACATCCTGGCCTCCCTGCGCGGGCGGCCCGAGGTGCGCGGGGCGCGGTGCGGGGGCCCCCCCGACGGCAGGACCACCGTGCTCATCCTCACCTTCGTGGCCGCCTTCCTGGTGTGCTGGACCCCCTACCACTTCTTCGCCTTCCTGGAATTCCTGACGCAGGTGCAGGTCGTCCGCGGCTGCTTCTGGGAGAATTTCAAAGACCTGGGCCTGCAGTACGCCAGCTTCTTCGCCTTCATCAACAGCTGCCTGAACCCCGTCATCTACGTCTTCGTGGGCCGGCTTTTCAGGACCAGGGTGTGGGACCTTTTTAAGCAGTGCGCCCCCAGAAGGCCGCCTGCCATGTCCCATAGGAAACGGGTCCTCCAGCTCTTTTAGCAGAATTAAGACAGCCGTGGGTCCCGAAGCTCGGCTTCCTCATCGGCGATTTGGGACAGAAGAAATACTGCTGTGGTCGAGCCTCCTCTGCGCCCCCCGCCCCCGCCTCCGGCCCCAGGGACCGGGATCCAGGCCCTGGAAACCGTGGGGGGTTTTGGTGCAAGGACTTGGCAGGTGTGATCAAGCTAAGTGTCTTGAGGTGGGGAGATGATCCCGGATTATCTGAGAGGGCCCAGCGTAATAATCCCAGAGGTTTTAGGCAAGACCAGCAGCCAAGTGGAGGCTGGAGAGACCCGGGGAGCCCCGAGCCAGGGGTTGCTGGTGCCCCCCAGAGGCTGGGAAGGGGACAGAGTCAGAGTGTCCCCTCGGGCCTCCAGAAGGAGCCAGCCCTGCAGACGTTTGGACTTTAGCCCACTGAGTCCAGCCTCCAGAAACATAAGACAATAAAGTCGTGTCGTTTAAAGTCACCACGTTTGGGCTAATGCGTTAGAGCAGCCACAGGACACTCCCGCAAGGGTCTCTGAGCACATTGCCACGTGTCCATCCAAAATGTTCTAGGCCAACTGCGAGGCATAGAGATGCTAGAGCTAGGGAGCCTACCTGCAGGGAACTGGCACAAATACTTAGAGTATTAAAGAGGAAAACAAGAAATCACAGAAGCAGGCCTCGGATCCAGCACCCTGAGCATTCCGAGGGAAGAGGGTGGGTTCCTGGCAGGGGTGTCAGGAGAAGCCTTCGGAAGGGAGTCTGCCCTTCCAAAGTAGGGCGCCCAGAAACTGGGTGCCTGGGGAGCGGGAAGGACGCCTGGTCGAGGCGTAACCGGGACCCGCAGGTGGAAATCGTGTGCTCGCAGGAGAGCGTGTTTATGGAACCGTTAATGCTTCAGGATTCTTCTTGCAATGGGGAACCCAATTGCCTTCAAGGAGCTCACAGGACAGGGACAGTAATTAGGAGAGTGTCACGGAGCAGGTAACGGCCCCCATCATGGGAGAGGAGGTGCTCTGAGCACAGAGAAGTGGAGCGCAGGGTGGGCGGCGGGGAGCAGAGGGGTCTGGAGGCTTCCTGCAGGAAGGGACTCAACCGATGAGTGGAATCCAAACAAGCAGTTGGCCAAACCAGATAGGAGACAAGGTGTGTTCCAGATAGAGGAAGCAAGCTGGAGCCAGGCACAGGTGGGGAGGGAGAAGGATGAAGGAGGGTGAGGCACAAGGCAGTCCCAGGAGGGTTGGAGGCTTGAGGAAAAGACTAATATGTGGCAAGAATCTGCAGTGTGCACTGCTCTAGCGATGCTCCTCAGGCACCAAACAGGCAGGCAGTCGGGTTTCTCCAGGGTTGGGGTTTTGCCAGGTGATGGCCATCGTTTAAGGTGTGAACTATGGAGAATGGTTGGATTAGGGAAGGAATGAACATAGGTGGTAAGGGAGAGAGTGACATCGATGTGGTTACAGAGCAGGGGTAGTAGGAGCATCTAGGTGATGGAGCGGAAGCACCGGAGGTTGTGGCCGCCCAGGAAGGGGGTCTGCATGGAACATTCCATCTCCCATGTGGCCGTGGCATCGGGTGGCTGGAACAGAGGGAAGGAGAAGGTCATTGGAGACAAAGCAGTCAAGGAATGGAGAGGCAGGGGATGGACAGCCCCATGGGGGTCCCTGCAGTCAGGCAGGTGCTGGGGGGGTCTGGGGAGGAGACAGCCCGTAGGTCAGGTGCCAAGGCCAGTGTCCATGCACGGGTGGGAATGCAGGGCAGGACAGCCTCCGCTGCTGCCCCAGAAGGGCCAGACCTCACGGGGCAGCAGCAAAGACCCAGATGCATTCAAAAAAGGGAAAGAAAGCCCGTGCTCCTGGAGCCCGGTGATGCGCTCTCAGAGGCCGGCAGAGGCTGGGCCACCAGGCCCTCGTGGGCATCGGGGGTCACCCCACGGTCTGTGCTCCAGCCCCCGGAGGTTTCCTGGAGAGCAGAGATTGAAGTCAGCAGGCAAGGATCCAGCTGGTACATGTGTTTAATGTAGATCACATGGTGTTCAAATATATATTTTTGCGTTGACTGCCAATATATAAATTCTACATAAGAATCCAGATTTCGAGGGCATGTGGGTGGCTCAGTGGTTGCGGCCCAGGGCGTGATCCCGGGGTCCCGGGATCGAGTCCCACATCGGGCTCCACACATGGAGCCTGCTTCTCCCTCTGCCTGTGCCTCTGCCTTTCTGTGTGTCTCTCATGAATGAATAAATAAGAATCTTAAAAAAAAAATCTAGAGTTTAGGCTTCCCTTGAACAGTTGGCAGATCTAGCAACACGGAACCTGCATTCTTTCCTTGAGCTGATATGTGCCAGGCCTCTAGTTCATGCCAGATGCTGCTGAGAGAGAGAGGACCACGAGCAGGGTCCTCCTGGCGTGGACCTCCGGGCCCCCCCCCAGGACACCAGTGCTCGGGGCACCCCTCCCTCTGCCGCAGCCCCTCCCCCAGAGCAGAGGCGGGAGTCACCAGGGTGCTTGCCAGCACCAGCACCATGTGTGGGCCCCCGGCAGGAGTCACGGGAGCAGAGGTCCTGTGTAAAGTGGCCAGAATGGGAATATTAGGCAGAAGTTAGAGAGCTGGAAAGGAAAGATAACGCCCCGGTCTCTCCTCTGCTCTGAGCAAAGTGACCCGAGTCACTTTGGGTGACTAATGCAGGTTTCTCGGCGCCTGCATTAAAGTCGTGGCTTCTCAGAATGTTCTCTAGGGCTTGTCGAAGCAACCGCACAGCCCAGAAGAGCGTGCTGGCTTGTGACATCAGGACGTTGCTTGCAGGCCCAGGTTCAGCAGTAGACTCCCGGCAGGGTCCCTGATGAGTCAGACACCTGACTTCTGGAATGTTTGTATCATTCCCTGAAGCCCGGGCCACAGCCCCGCAGGCCCAGACACCGGCAGCCCCACAGTGAGGACTCTGCGGCCCTTTCGTTGTTGGAAAGGCCAAGCGTTTATCTGCAGAGGGAGGAATCCCTGCCTTGGTTAAAAGGATCAGTGCTGAAAAAATAAAAAATAAATTAAAAAAAAAAAAAAAGGATCGGTGCTGTGGGAGAAATTAGTATTTTTGGATTTGCACAGGTCCGGTCGCTGTGCTCCCCTGGAAGGTTTCCCACGTGGGTCCAGCCCCAAGCCTCCCCTTGTAGGGCTAACACCTGGCAAGGAGGGATGAGTGAGCACATGGGCTCCTAGCGTCCCTGGCTCCGGCAGCCAGGTGGGCCCCCGCTGGGGGTGCGAGAAGGGCCGAGGACAGACGCAGAGCTTTGTCCGCCCCCAGCGGGAGGCCTGTCATGCAGGTCCACAGCCAACCCCGCACCCGTCCATCACCCCGTCCATCATGGGCACTGGACAGCACTAAGCACTCCCGAAGCCCAGCCTGGGGAGACTCCCGGGTGTTGCAATGGACTCAAGCAGGCTCTTGTCCTCCGGAGATGAGTCATGAGCTTGATGAGGAGCAAGCAGGAAGTTTTCCCCTGCATGCCAGAAAAGGCTTTAAATTAAATTAAAAATGAGTGCATGTCAAACTGGTACAATCTGGATAAAGTCTGGACATTTTCCTGCCTCTGACATTGTACCGTGCTGACACATGGCGTCACCGTGGGGGAAACTGAGCAAAGAGTACAAGGGACCTCTCTGTGAATCTAGCAGAAAGTTTAAAAATATGTGTATCAGCACGTTGAACCCTTCCATTTCACAGGTAAGGAAGCTGAGGCCCAGACGTAGGCAGAGGCTTTCCCAAGGTTACCCGGTGAGCTGGACTCCTGGGGAAGGCTCTGACCACCCCAGGGATGCCTGCCAGACTGTGAGGTCAGAAACGGGCCTGAGTTCTGGGGATCTCTGCTTTCCTGGTGGCAGACCGCCTGTGCCTGGCGCTGGATTTAGGACCATGAGCAGGAAGACAGGCCCACTTTTCAGGAGCTTCAGGAGACAACAAGGTATTAGAAGGGTCAGTTGGGGCTCAGCAAGTATGAGGGGAAGATACTTCAGAGTTTTCCTTGACAGGGAGCTTAGTGGCTGCTGATATAGCTGCCAGCTCTTGGGCTATCTTAATAGGAGTATAGCATCTAATATGTGGGAGGTGATAGTCCATTTAGCTTAGCATTGGACAGAGTACATGAAGAGTGTTGTGTCCAGCTCCTGGATCATTCAGAAGAAAGGGATCAGACTGGCAAAGGGACTCAATATCATAACACAGCAAGAGCCTGAGGGGGCTTTTTTTAAAGAAGCAAAGACCTGTGGAGAAAGGGGAACAAATGTATGTAGTGTGACCCCAGCAGGACCAAAGAGAAGCAAATCCTGAGAAACACATTCTGGCATATTTTGAGGAAAGAGTTTTCTGATAGGCAGAGCTGTCCCATGATAGAACCTGGCTAGGGGTGGGTTCCCTGTTCCCAAGGCACACCCACCCTCCAGGAGCTCACTGCGAGCAGGGATAGGAAAAAAAAAAAAAAGTCGTTTCTCAGGATGAGATCTATAATCCCGGGGCGATAGAGTCCGTCTGGAAGGAATTCCAGAAACAAGTGGGGGGGGGGGTGACAGGAGGTGAAGGGTCTTGAAGTTAAGTAGGACCAGCCTTTGCCTCGCCCAGGATGTCAGCCCGTGAGACCAAGGGCTGGAAGAATTATGACAAGGCTCAGAGATCACAAGAGTCCACAGAGACTCTAAAGGGGGGCATCACGGTTAGACCACACTTCAGAGCAATCACGCCACTAGAACACGTGGGTATGGATGATGGCCTGCGGGTTGTATAAGCATGTATTGCTGCATAACAAACCACTCCCCCCAAACCTACAGGTGTAGGACCACCCGAGCTCACAGTTCCGTAGTCGACCACGTGGGCTGGGTTCTGCTGATGGTTCTTCTGCTGGTCTTGTCTGCATTCACAGAAGCATCTGTGATCAGCAGCCACCCAGCCAGCTCTGCTCCTGGGGGTTGAGCGGGAGGGAGCAGCAGGCACAGAGCGAGCCTCAGATAATTTAAGAATCACTGTAGATTAGGTGTAGGCCGGGGAGCACCCCAATTCTGATTTCCCCGATCTAAGACAGAATCCGAGCAACTGAATCGTCCACAGCTTTGACTGCACTTATTGCGTGTTTGATACAGGACAGGGATGGTGTGAGGCTCAGATGCAGAGGACAGTGAGGCCCCGTCCTCTCGGAGAGCTCACAGGGCGTGGAAGAGATCACCTCATGCCGGCTGCCCAGTTTACAGATGGAAAACCTGAGGCCCTAAATGCTTTGCCCCGTCACGAAATGACACCACTGATGTGAAGTCTGGGTGAGGCACCAGCTCTCCTACCCTGTCCAGCCCTCTCCCCCTGTATAGTGGCTCCCCAGAAAATGCTTCCTAAGATCACCTTGTCTTTTGTCTTTTTTAAAAAAGATTTATTTATTTATTTGAGGGAGAGAGAGAGAGAGTCTCAAGCAGACTCCCTGCTAAGCACAGAGCCCAACTCAGGGCTTGATCTCATGACTCTAAGATCACAACCTGAGCTGAAACCAAGAGTCTGACACTTAAGTGACTGAGCCCCCGGGGGCTTCAAACACCAGGTCTTTCAAACGGAAGTACCTTTGCCCGGTGCTGACCAGGTGAGGGCAGGGGTGGGCCATTCTCATCCTTGGTCTCCTGTAAGAGATGTTTCTGCTGTCCAGTGACAGTTCCAGTCCTCCCGTCCTTCTGGGAAGCAGGGATTGAACTTCCTCATGCTGTGGAGGCCAAGAGCAGTTTTCTCAACTCCTTTGGCCAATGCAAGAGGATCTGGATTCACTTCTAGGCAGAAGCGATCCTCTCTTCCTCTGCTGTAGCAAACCCCAAAGGCTTGTATCGAGACGGTGGTGTCACTAAGATGTGGAGACCCAAGAGCCTGGGCCCCTCAGTTAGTAGAAGAGCAGACCTCTGACCCCAGCTGCATTAAGTATGCAGTATGAGCAGGAAATCAACCCTGGAGGTTTCAGCGCTGCAGAGCATTGGGGGATGTTTGTTACACAGCAGAACCCCTTCCATCCTGACTGATCCACCAGGCTTCGCTGGGGAGGGATAGCTCCCTACTCCCTACACCCCTTGCCCACCCCTTGCTTCTCTCTCTGACAGGTCTCAAAACAAGAACTGAGCCTATAGCGCTCACTGCCTTTCCCCCATTCTCCCTCTTTGGGAAGTGTCTGCCTGCAGACTGGTCTTCTCTCAGTCTTGAGGTGAACTTAGCGCTAGAGGCTCTGCCTCAGTGGGGGAAGTTGCCGGCACTGCCAGGGCCTCCTGGGTAAGTGGGCCTGCCTCTGCGGTTCAGAGTTAAGAGGCTGTTTGATGCCACACATCTAAGTGACATCACCCAGCCAAGCCCTCCTTTGTCATGAAGGTGACATCGTGGCCCCCAGTTGCTGACCCCTGTCTGCCTCCCTTAGTTCCAAACTCAGGCAGGCAAATCGTGTCCTCGAACCCCAGCTCCTATTATCTTGCCCATCTCTGACTCCAAGGGACTCACAATCCAAACGTCCGTCACTCATGGGCAAAAACACGAAAGCCCAGTGGTGAAACGCAAACCTGATTCCCGAGAGACCTTTCTCAAAACCCACAGTAATACCTTAGCCAGTTTGGATTCCAGGTTTCTTGGCACTGGGGACGCTTTGGGCCACACGGCTCTGTGGCATGGGGGGCTGTCTGGGGCATCCATTGTAGGATGTCCAGCAGCATCTCAGACCCCTCCCCGCTGCCACTAGATTCCAGAAGTCCCCCCACCCCCAGCACGACAACCCAAACGTCCTCCATCCTCCGGAAGCAAGATCACCCTCCACCCCCAAGTGAGAACCACATTTCAGCTCATGTGACCTAGTTATCCAGCCACGGCCTCTGGGAGAGGCTGGTGGTCCGGGGGGACTTCTTGGAGGTGGCGGGTCATCAGCAATCGAAGGACTGAAGGGCCGCGGAGAAGCCACGGTGCCAGGACGGCAGGACAGAGGGGGACATGGAGGCGGGCACCCCCGGGGGTGGCAGCAGAGCGGCAAGTCTGCACGAAGGCCGGTCGGCAGGACCCAGGACCGGGTGGCCAAACAGGGAAGCGCGCAGAACCG